TGGTAAGTGTTGTATCGTTTAGTAGGTATGTATTTGAATCTTATTAATGTTGGTGAACACAACAGGTCTAGTATATCGCTGGTAAGTGTTGTATCGTTTAGTAGGTATGTATTTGAATCTTATTAATGTTGGTGAACACAACAGGTCTAGTATATCGCTGGTAAGTGTTGTATCGTTTAGTAGGTATGTATTTGAATCTTATTAATGTTGGTGAACACAACAGGTCTAGTATATCGCTGGTAAGTGTTGTATCGTTTAGTAGGTATGTATTTGAATCTTATTAATGTTGGTGAACACAACAGGCTTAGTATATCACTGGTAAGTGTTGTATCGTTTAGTAGGTATGTATTTGAATCTTACTAATGTTGGTGAACACAACAGGTCTAGTATATCACTGGTATGTGTTGTATCGTTTAGTAGGTATGTATTTGAATCTTATTAATGTTGGTGAACACAACAGGTCTAGTATATCACTGAATTGATATGTGTCACTGGTATGTTTTGGTGTTGTATCGTTTAGTAGGTAACTATCTGAATCTCAATAATATTGGTGAACATATACTCAAATCTAGTATATCACTGGGTTGATATGTGTCATTGGTATGTTTTGGTGTTGTTTAGTAGGTAACTATCTGAATCTCATTAATATTGGTGAACATATACTCAGGTCTAGTATATCACTGATATGTGTTGGTGTTGTATCGTTTAGTAGGTAGTTATCTCAATCGTCCAGAAATGATAGTAAATGTATTCTATTGGCATTCGTGATTATGGAACCGAAAACTGTGTTTTTGCTATTGAAGTCGCTTATAATAACATATTTGTTGTTGTGGAAGATGATAAACAAACTCAGAATTTCTACACAACTATTCAAACATGCCAACTATATCAGACAGATTCCTCGATAACTCGCTTCAATATTGTAAGAAATATTAATAAAAATGAACTGATGAGCAAACTAGAGAGTTACATAATACGTGATGAATCAAGCTGGAAACGCTGTGCCACTGGGGGCCCCATCTATAATGTACCGTGAGCATTAACGATCGTTTCAACTATAGAAAAGGACTAATAAGTTATCAGAGACTGGAAACTCTGTACTTATCTACAGGCGACAATGTAATCTTCTCTTTAATTTTGACCTTTAAGCTGATAATTCTGATGGGTAAAAAAACAGAACTTTGATTTCGTTTTTGTTTCAAAGATAGTGAAAACTTCCTTGTGATCAAAACAGGGGAGTCTAATTTCTCAATCGACAAAACAATGAAACAAACAAGAAACATTTCTATTTCCCTACTGTTAGAGTTAGTGGGCTCGAATCCCCGTCACCGAACATGCTCGCCCTTTCAGCCGTGAGGGCGTTATAAGTTACGGTCAATCCCACTATTTATTGATAAAAGAGTAGCCCAAGAGTTGGCGGTGGATGGTGTTGACTAGCTGCCTTCCCTCTAGTCTATTACAACTAAATTAGGGACGGCTAACGCAGTCTAGTCCTCGTGTAGCATTGCGTGAAATTCAAAATATATGAAAGCAATATTTCTACAGAATACACAGTTTCATCTATTGGACCATTTGATGTCATTTCTTTACTCTTTGAATGAGTCGTCGTTTTCACTCATGATGTCTCCCATAGTTCTTCGCTGGTCCAGCGATAAGCCTTAGTACGTACTTATAACACTAAAATACGATGTTTAATCTCCAGGTGGGCACAGCACAGTTATATCATAGTGTAACTTTGTGTTAAAATAAACGAACAAATGTTTATCACTTTCACTACACAAGAATCAGCTGGACATTCATTAGAAATTGGGGACAGCTTCGACATAAGCTCTAACACAGTTACATTAACGAAAATAATATCAGCAAGTACAAACGGAAATTCTAACAGTTATGGTTTGGTTTGTTTAAAATTTCGCTCAAATCTACTCGAGGACTATAATATTTTCTTATTCTTTCTACAGAGCGCAGCTAGTCCTCGTGCATGTCATGGCCAGTTTGTATAACAAGTAAGTGCGGTGTATTTATTAAGGTTTCTTTAGCTGTTGTTCTAATTCTTATATGTATTGTTCAATTCTTTTTCCTGCTTATATTAATTAGTCAATATCACTGTAATATATGAATATTTGTTTGCTGATGATTTCCAGCTTATGGAAATATTCGAGGACTACATAGGTGGAGGAAGCTCTTTGAATTTGAGGAACACATTGTGCATTTTTACTGATTTGTCAAAAAGAAATACCAACTTAAAAAGAGCTAGTAAGAATACTAGCAACTATAACCCGTCTCCGATTTTTAGGTTCTTCATGCTGTTTTATTGAGTGTATTATATTTTTAATGTTATAATTTATTAGGTTTTTTTTAAGCCGGACACTTTATTACTTTACACTGTGAGTTCGAAAGTTAGAATATTTACCTAAATGAAATACACTCTCTACAAAATCATGTTTACTATACGAGATGTCCAGTTGTTGTTGTTTTTTCTTTTTCCATCATTAACAGACTAAACCAACTAAGTCATCATATAGGTGAGGCATTCAATTTTTTGTTTCTTTTATTATACTGAAAATATAAAGATGTAATAGATGGCGCTAAATACACTAACTACATATTCACTTCCTGATACTCAAGAAGTGTGAAGTTGCAGACGTTGATACATCGTTTACTCACTTTATTGGATTGTGATCTTAAGTTTATAGAACGTGACCATGAGATGCTTATAAGCATAACTTAGAATGTTACAATATATCCCTTAGAAAATACACGTGTTTGTTTAAATTACCTTTGTGATCTGAGCTCAGTACAAGCTCTGATGTCCTATCGGACTTTGTAGCCATGTTTATTAACAATAACATTATGGTATTGTCTAGAACGTGCGTGGCAAGTATATTTTGAGCTCTATTTTATAATGGACAGTGTTTCCTAATACTAATAGTAGCACCGAGCGTACTTTGTTCTATGTCTATGAAATAAGTCCCATCTGTTTATAACTTGCATGCAAGATTTGAATTTCTACTAACCGTTAGACAGAGGTTTCTGTGCTTTGTTCACCGAGGGGAATCGAATCCCGGATTTTATTGTTATAAAATGAAAATTTGAAAATTTAAGATCATTTTCCAAATGAATGAACTAAAGTGAGAGTAAAAGTCGTTGTCTAATATTTTTTATTAATTATTTTTTTATGTCACCGACTTATTTCCAGTCTTAAATCTTAGCCATTTCATAGTGAAATTAAAATACAGGCTCCATCGCTTTCAAGCTTTATAGCAAACACATGAACAGAAAGAATCCTTGCTTGGGTTAATATAATATTGTGATACTGAAATTCCAAGGGTTAGTTTTAAAAGGATGAAATATAAACTGTAAAACAATATTTTATAGACATTCACGTATTGAATTTTTCTAAAGGCGCTTAACCATAAATTTCTATCCAACTGATATTGATTAAATTGAAAATGGTGAAAAAATGTCAATATTACTCAAGTGTACATGATTAAAAGATTCATAACATTACTTTAGTGTTGACAGAACAGGTGTCATATTAATATTTTTACGTTAAAAATTTACGCTATACCTTTGAACGCTTCAGTGTTGCATCTAAAGACTTTAAATATATTGAGAGAACATCAGAAAAAAAATTGCAGAAAATCTTATGAATGGAAACGTTAACATTCCTGATTTTATATTGTTTCACTTAACGAACTATGGTATAAACCAAAAAAAACGTCACCGATAATCCCCATTTCAACGTTTAAACCTCCACAAAAGATTGAAAATTTAGTATTCTTTTGACTTAATAATTAATCTAACTGTCTGTCTGTCTACCTCAGGACACACACTAAAAGAACAAAACGTGGTCCACCTTCGAAACCAAGGTAGAAGTCGCTCAACAAGTAATTTTTTTTATAGATAACAGAAAACTTTGTAGATTAAGGATAAAATTCAAGTTACCTGGTTAATGTACCTACTTTCTACATCATTTATTCATCTATTATTTACTTTAAGATATAGTATTAGCTTGTTCAGATAAACTAATTTACCATGGTGGTTTGAATTTTGTTTACCAGTTACCTTTATAAAGCAGTTGGGAAATTTAGGTAAGACGGTCCCCTGCGTTAAAACGGCCACCCAAGCAGATCACCATTTATGACACGCTCTATCTAAAGAGAATTATATGAAACTGTTGTTCACGTGACCCCGTGCCTAAACATAGTGGTGGAGAGCGCGAGTGTGGATATTCAAAGCGGACTTCAGTTTTTTTTTGTTTTTTTTTTCTGAAAACTTTCATCTAAGACAAGCACTTTTATTTTTTATGGTTACGAAGTAGATATTTCAGGGAATTTCACTTTGTTGATGTCAAAGAATGAGGAATTATAGACAGCTAAATATGCAGTAAAAGCAAAATAGTTCGAGTCCACTTTTTTATAACGCGTAATTGCTTTACGATAAGTGGCTTAAAGTAAGACGCCCCCATACACATTAGTACTCACGATATTTTGCGCCATTGGTCTAGATAATGGCCAACTTGTGCATGACGCGTAGCATTCCCGATCTCTACCAACAGCATTTAAATGGGGATTTAAATGTAGTTGCCAAATGCAACATTTATCTTAAATTGTTATAAGTTAAATGGGGGCATTTTCTCCTACAATGGAGGCCCGTTTTATCCAACTTTAGGGAGAAAACTACCCACAGTCGCAAAAAAAGTGATTTTTTTAATACCTGAAAATGGTCTATGTCTAATCTTTTTTTAAAACTGGAAATGATATTCATTAGAGAAAAAAAAATGGGTTCCTTTTAAACCCTTTTGCTTTTTTCATGATATTTATCTAATTGAAAACAAAAACGCATTCAGGGTTAAGATGGCCCTCTTACTCCATTTTTCACTAACAATTCTCTCAACAGATAAAGATTTGAGTCTTGCAGTAACATAGCTGAAAATAGATTGAGTAAACTGGAAAATAGTCTTCACAACTGAGCCTACTGCTACAGAATGAATGGTATACAGATAAATATTTGAGTCTTGCAGTAACATAGTTGAAAATAGATTGAGTAAACTGGAAAATAGTCTTCACAACTGAGCCTACTGCTACAGAATGAATGGTATACAGATAAATATTTGAGTCTTGCAGTAACATAGTTGAAAAAGATAGAGTAAACTGGAAAATAGTCTTCACAACTGAGCCTACTGCTACAGAATGAATGGTATACAGATAAATATTTGAGTCTTGCAGTAACATAGTTGAAAAAAGATAAGTAAACTGGAAAATAGTCTTCACAACTGAGCCTACTGCTACAGAATGAATGGTATACAGATAAATATTTGAGTCTTGCAGTAACATAGTTGAAAAAAAGATAGAGTAAACTGGAAAATAGTCTTCACAACTGAGCCTACTGCTACAGAATGAATGGTATTTGTTTATGTAAAACATTCGATTGTACCTGCTATTCTATCATTAATTGTTAAAACGTTTAAAAACAATTCCAAATGTTTGTATTGGTAAATGGCTGCTCGTTTTTACAGGCAAAAAGTCATCAAATACAAAGAAATTGCCCTATTTGTAGCCTGTATAAACGAACATTTTATTATTAAAATCGTTACCGTGCACAAGGTGTTATAATTCCTCTTAAAAACCGAAAATTGGTTCAGAATTTTCATACTGAATGGCATATAGTGCTCACGTGAGCTAAACGGCCAGGTCAGATATGCAGTCTTCCATGATATTGAACTACTGATCCAAGATAATGCAGTTAATCAACAGCAGCGGCAGCAGCCAATTGAATAGTTGGATGACTGTTACTCCTATACCGCAATCATGGCTCCAAAGTGAGAAGTGCGATTTTTTTTAAAGCTAAGGACTCGAGTCATGGAACCATCGTTCCACAAGCCGACACGGGGACAGCTAGACCATGCTTTTTATACTTTATATTCATAAAGGTCATATTAGGTACTTTGATAAGGGTTTTCCACACTGAATCTAACGAGACATGGTTTGTAGAGGTTTCCACAATGAAAAATACAATAAATGATTTTTTATAAAACTTTGATATTTCGTAAAACGTCCCAGTTTTCTCTGGTTCCTGGGGGTAAAAAAAAGACTGGTAGCAAAAGGGTTAGTGTTATGTATAACTTCGAAAAACAAGAATAGGGAAAATACTGAATAAGATACTATAAGACAGTTGTTTTCATGATATTAAACATCACTCATCACAATGTGCTCTTAGGGATGTGAGTTATATTTAGAACATTAGGAAGTTACTATAAAACAATGCTTCTGCTATTGGTCACTAGGAAACACATGACAACCTAGTTCGTGTTGGTTTGTATATCTATACATCCAAGTTTATATCGACGTATAACCTCAAATTAGCTTCTTTCTGCAGACCGGTGGAGTTTCAACCAATTACAGGACGGAACAGAAAAGTTGGTCTTTTATGGGAGAGATTGAAACGTGAAACTGGCCAGCGTAATCTCGTTATCGCCTATACGCACGTTTCACAGGTTCGAAATATTAGAGGTGCTACGTTTTGGTAGAAGGAAATACATACAATGCATTTATAGGTATACTACAGTATATAATATTTTTATGTCGTCAACCTTGGATTTCTTTTAATTCTAGTTAGTGCGAACATTCAATGTTTTCTTTGGCTGAAAAAAAAAGCATAAACCTCAATAAAAGAACATGCTTGATTGTTATGTTAATCGATCGCGTCAGAACGTCATCTAGGTGTCAAAAATTGGGTTGTGCAAAGACGAGAAGACAATCAGGTAAGATGGGTGCTTTAATAGATAGTTAGCGCTGGCTGAATAGATAGATAGCCTTCGCTGTGGTATTTGACTGTAGCTTATGATAATATGTTCATTGAAACTCTAATACAAAATCTATGTGGTCCTATCGGACTTGAATGCATTTTTCTTGCTGTTTTTCCTGAAACAGACATTTGTCATTAACTTAAACCAAGAATTTTATAAATAAACCCAAAATTACAAAAAAAAGACGGGTTAAATCTTCCGCAATGGAAAGTATGTTTTTCTCAATTGGATATATTAATGAAAATGTCAAAGATAACAGACTGTTTGTGATTAACTTGCTCAGTCTGTGAAGGTTCATGGTTTGTGTCCCGTTGCTGCCGTGGATGCAGTATAAACTGGCGATCACATCTCATTATTGGGTCAAATATGAGTAACTGGTATTTATCTGATAAAATCAGTTATACCATTATTGGGTCAATATGAGTACCTGGTATTTATCTGATAAAATCAGTTATATCATTATTGAGTCAAATATGAGTACCTGGTATTTATCTGATGAAATCAGTTATACCATTATTGGGTCTAATATGAGTACCTGGTATTTATCTGATAAAATCAGTTATACCATTATTGAGTCTAATATGAGTACCTGGTATTTATCTGATAAAATCAGTTATATCATTATTGGGTCTAATATGAGTACCTGGTATTTATCTGATAAAATCAGTTATACCATTATTGGGTCTAATATGAGTACCTGGTATTTATCTGATAAAATCAGTTATATCATTATTGAGTCAAATATGAGTACCTGGTATTTATCTGATAAAATCAGTTATACAATTAATTTTGTTTATCATTTCGCCAAGCTTCGTTTTTGTTTAAGCACCCATGATAAAAAATGACCGTACATGTTGCAACGATATTTCGGGATTTATTCATACAATGCATTTATTTTTAGAAATTATAAATGTGCATGTGTTCGTATAGTAATAATGTATTTATATATAGATATGTTAAAAATGTTAAATTCTCTAACAGTTCCATTCGTAATAAAATAGGTGAATTGTGCAATGTACAGGGAAGTATATGTTGTCTGAGTAACACTCTACCGAAGTGCTCTTCTCTGAAACGCCGCTGTGTGGTAATCCTCTTGTGTTTACTTTATATTGTTTAGAAACGAACTGCAACTGTTCGAAGAGGTGTTAATGTTGCTAAGTAGCTCACGTTTACTTTAGGAATACATAGAACATTCTAGGGCTTCCTTTGCTATTCATTTTGATCGGAAGAACGACTTGGAAACTTACTGTTTCTAGAATACACAAGAAATATGACGTAAACGAAAGAGAAATCAGCACGTGAAATTTAACAACTTACTAACGTAGTTTACAAAATGATGGACTATTACGACCAATTTCTAAAATCACTGTCACCGGGTCGTTGTTTTCAAACTGCTAACTTGACTGTTTATCGTTCTATTAATTATTAATCAATTAACGGGAACAGCTCAGCCATACCTTTTCATTTAGACCAGGGATTATTTCACAGTATAATTATTTGATAATTTAGTATTTTAGACCGGAATAAACATGTTTCTAGATCAGTAATCGGAGTGATAATTTGCAATCAGTAATAATGCAATATGATTTTAACCTGCAGATCCATGTTAAGTTTATTAATGCACAGAAGTGAATGTTAGTTCATCTTATTAATACTCTGGAGCATTAATCCACAGATTCATCTTATTAACCCCCTGGAGTATTAACCTACAGATTCACATTATTAACACCTGCAGCATTAATCCACAGGTTCCTCTTATTAACACCCTGGAGCAATAATCCACAGATTCGTCTTATCAACAACCTGGAGCATTAACTCACAGATTCATCTTATTATTATACTGGAGCATTAACCCACAGATTTATCTTAACAATACTCTGGAGCATTAACTCACAGATTCATCTTATTACTATACTGGAGCATTAACCCACAGATTTATCTTAATAATACCCTGGAGCATTAACTCACAGATTAATCATATTAATACAATGGGGCATTAACCCACAGGTTCATCTTAATACGCTAGAGCATTAACTCACATATTCATCTTATTACTACACTGAAGCATTAACCCAAAGATTCATATTATTAATACAAAAAATTATTACACCAAAGAATAACCTTAGAAAAAACAAAAGCTACTAACTAGTCCATCTTAACTAACGCAGATTAAACCAGATGTATCTTACCAACACAAAAAGCTATGAAACATAACAAGAGGAAAATGTTTAGGCAACCATGAATCGTTGCTTTTTGAAGTTTCGTAAACTTGTTTGTTCTATAAGATATTTTAAGTACTAATGTGTTAGCTGGATTATTATAATAGGGTTATTAAAAGTCACAATATTTGCGGTATAGAATTCTAATTAATTCGTCTGTTCAAAGCATCGTGAAGTCTGCTTGATAGCAAATGCATTATATAAACTTAATAGCTCGTCAGAAAACAATACATGATTTGCACCTTATTATCAAATATTATACACAAAACGAATATACTCTAATCTTTTTTTACTAATAACCCATGGTTTGTGTTTTTTTCAGTGATGCATCAATGGCTATCACGAGAAAGAGGCCAATGAATAAATACCACTCGCCAAATTCTGTCGTGACGGCTTCTAGAAAAGAAAATTTCAGATGTAAAGACTGCCAAAAATCGTTTTTATATAGATCAAATCTTCTGTGTCACAGAAAACTTCACGTTATAAGACGTATCAACAGTGGTCATCAATTGAGTGATTCCTTCCGACATAAAAAAAACAGTGATTCTGACAACCAAGAAATAACATCTTCAAACTTTACTAAAAGGACTGTATGGCGCAGTTTCTCTTACTCAAATCCAGACACACAAAAAACGACTAATTCAATACTTTTTAATAACGCTTTAAACGAAGAAAGAACAAGGTTATTCCATTCAAACGAACCTAAAATGTTATCCTTTCACCTCAATGAAATTGGTAAGTGTTTCGAAAGGGATAAAGTTCTTAATGATCTTAAACCACAAGAACCAAATAATGACACTGGTGTGGTTTCTTCTTTCTCTTACACCTCTGCAAACGCTAAATGTTTACAGGTTACAGAATTATTTAGGAACCCCACAGTTCAACACCAAAAAACACCAGGTGCGTCGAAATATGATGTATTCTCTTTAAGTGATATCAGATCCTTTACTAACTCCAAACTCCAAAAACCGACTTTTAAAACTGGAACAACAAGTATGGCAAACTACGACAGTTCTTCACTTTATTCTGGAGACATTGATCGTTCGAAAAGTGGTACATTTTCTAAAACCCCAGAATCCCAGGTAAAACCAAGGTGTTCAAAGACATCTTACATTCAAACACCTTCTTTTCCTCGGATTTCTGAAGATATCGTGACTTTCGGGAATAAAAAAACACTTTGCGAATCTGTTATTCAAGAGCTCGAAGAAACAGGTTATAAAACCGTTTTCCATCGTACATTGCGCAGTAACTGGTCGAAACTGGTAACAAACAAGATTTCTACTCTTGTATTCTCCAAGACATTGAAAGGTCACCAATGTTCCTTATCATGTTTACATCGTCAGTCGTAAAGTTTCTAAAAATCTGTAAAATCTTTCTTGTTAGTTACTTTTTTAGGTTTAATTTTCATCTCTTTATAATTAACAGAAATCAAAACCAACAGTCTCTTGAAAATGGTTTTATACAATAATAACACCACAACTCTCTGAAGACTTTATATTTAGTCTCAATTTATTAAGTGTCCATAATAATTTTTCTCCAACTTAGAATTCAAGGTTTTACGCAGTGTAAATAAAAATAAGATTATTGGAATAGTAAGATACTAAAATATAAATAACTAGCTCAACCAGATTGTTTATTTCACAATATCCCAAGATGAATATTTATGAATCTTCCACTGTTGGCGGGTGTGGCTTTACCACATAACACTACCTGAAGATACTGTGTTTATATATATAGACTTAACAACATTTTTGAAACAATGTATTCTGTAGATATGAAGGCGTTAAATTGATTTTTTACTAATGACTTGAGGGTTCATGGATCACGTCCCGTTGCTGCAAAATCGCACTCCACACATTTGAGCCGACGGTGTGTTATAAGAATGATGGTCAAATCCCACTATTTGATTTAGCAGCTAGGAGTTTGGCTACATGTGATACCGAATAGATAAATACCTTCCCTCTAGCCTATAATTAGGGAGAGTTAGCGCGGATAACCCTTGTGAAGCTTTGCGCAAATATCCGAAACAAAGAAAACAAAAATATCTGTAACTTTATTAAATATTGTAACATTAGGTGTGAAATAATACAAGATGAATAACTTGAACAAGTACGATTAAATTGTTTATTTTATACATTATTTTTTCTTTCGATTTTATATGCGGTCTGACCAACTGTGCAAATATTGTTTATTGTTATGTAAATTCTGTCATCTGTATTAATAAATAGCTTACATTGTACTTCACCCATATATATATATATTTAAAGTTAAAGTTCAAGAGGCATCTCCATAATTACAGAATTGAGGAAAAACAAGACAATTGTACGTTTCACAAATACATTATTTATTACAACCATGGTTTCACCATGGCGCCTTTACTGGCGAAACCATGGTAGTAATAAATGATGTACTTGTGAAACGTACAATAGTCTTGGTTTTCCACGATTCTGTAATTAATTCCTTTATTACTCACTAGATGGTGCGTAATCAGAGTGAAGACAGTTATCATAAAGTTATCGCACAAATATACATAGAATGGAAATGTACCATTTAAGTAAGCAATATATAAATTTGTATCCTGATATTATGATACGAAATCTTCGACAAGTAACGACGGTTTCAAGTATCAAGGAATTAATTGTCAAATATCATTTTATCTGTAAACAAAACAAAACAAAAAATGATAAGTTAAAACATAGTTAAGGTGTTTATGGATTGCAAGAATACAAATACAATTTTTTAAAAAATGCTTGCTCTTTTATATAATTATTAATTATCTTGTTTGGCTAACAGAGTAAAAATATGAAACAAGCCAATCACAAGGTTCAGCTTAGTTGAATTTTAATCTTTCGCTTTAATTATGTATAACGTCATAACTAATAATGTTAACTTAATACGCCAATGCCTTAAAAATATCACCTGAAGGAATAACTTGCAATCCATAGCTCATAGACAACATATTGTAGGTTTGTCTCATATCAATAAATATGACTTTCAATATCAAAATCCTTAATAAACTAATCGAAACCAAGTCTCTTTATTGGATATAACCCACTTTGCTTGCAAGCAGGCTATAAGTAGCAAAATTATCTGAATATATTACTTCCTACCTGCACTCGAAAATTGAACGAGCAGAAATACTTGCCAAATGCTCTTATCCAATGTGACAATAATACAGGGCGTCCGAAAAGTGAGGAACCATAGGATATTACTTCTTACCTGCACTCGAAAATTGAACAAGCAGAAATACTTTCCAAATGCTCTTATCCAATGTGACAATAATACAGGATGTCCGAAAAGTGAGGAACCATAGGATATTACTTCTTACCTGCACTCGAAAATTGAACGAGCAGAAGTACTTGCCAAATGCTCTTATCCAATGTGACAATAATACAGGATGTCCGAAAAGTGAGGAACCATAGGATATTACTTCTTACCTGCACTCGAAAATTGAACGAGCAGAAATACTTACCAAATGCATTTATCCAATGTGACAATAATACAGGGTGTTCGAAAAGGGAAGAACCATAAGTGATTTGCAGCTTTACTTAATTTCAGATACGTGACTGACTATGGTGCTGTCAAAGTATGAGAAGATCGAGTTAATCCTACCGTTAATCCAAACTCGTTTCGAATTATAAGGACAACATGTGGAACACATTCTGTAAAATTCGTCGAAGTGCCTATGGTTCCAGACTTTTCGGACACCCAGTACTAATGAAATTCGACTTGGATGAAAAGCGATCTATTTAATTATTTTACACCTTAAATTACAGAGTTAGTACGTCTTGCATTATACGTATTATTGGAAAAAACCCATTTTGTAATAAATTTGTAGATGGTATTTTAAAAACTGTGTATTGGACAACAATGGTTTTGTCTCAAATTTTGGAAACCTTGTGTTGTATAGGTTATACAGTCTTGGCCAAAAGGTTTGCATGTTTTGTATATAATTGATCATTATTATTATACAATATACTTAGCACTGTCAAACTGAGAAATGCATGTTATATTAAACACTAACATATGTAATATATATAATGAGACAGGTTCTATGGACATCATGAACGATTTATTAAACATCAAACAATTTTATCAGACACCTGTAGAAAGATGTGTAATTCAGCATGTCACCTATCACAACAAAACCTTATCAAAACATATATAATGACAAAATATAACATCAAATTATTATAAATAGCGTCTGTAGCCTTATATCAGTTCGTATTAAACATTCAGTACTTGATTGGTCTTCCTCATACTCTAATAACCTCCGCAAGGTGACGTAACATGCTGCCGATGAGATTATTGATGTAATACACCGTGAATTCACCCCAACTGGTCACTAGAAGGCGCTGCAACTCAACTAATCTAGTTGATTTAAGGTCATGATTATCAATTTTCTGGCTCAGTTCCGCCCAACAGTTCTTAATGGGTTTAAAATCTGGAGACTTTGTTAGCCATAGCGATCTTGTAACGTCCTCCTGGTCGAGATGATTTTGTACAATATGCGCACTGTGGGCAGTGGCATTGTCGTCCTGGAACACAAAGTTATTGCCAAACCTTCTCCTAGCATATGGCAGAAATATCGTCTCCCTGTGATGTCTGTAGAAAACGCCATTGACGTTTCCCTGAAGGATATGAAGAGCAGTTTTCCACCATAATGAATAGCTGCCCAAACATGCACTATACCACCTCCTGTGTGTTCCACGTGGAAAACATAGTCTTCTCTCATCTGTTCTCCAGGCAAACGACAACACGAATCCTACCATCAGCTTTAACAAGCCGGAAACAGGACTTGTCTGAAAAGATCACATGTCGCACGTGTCCTAACTGTAAGTTGGCATGCTGTCTTGCCCAAGTAACACGGTGATGTCAGTGAATTCTGGTTAACATCGGTTTGCAGATAAACCTTGCAAAATAACCTTTTTCGGTTAGTCTCCTATTCACTGTTCTTCTTGATACCCTGGAATGAATGTGTTCTTGACGTTCCTGTCGTAAAGTATTGCAAGACCTCGTTCGACCTTAACGTATTAACTTGATCAAAACACGGCCATCCCGAGCAGTAGTTTTTCGGCGTCTACCAGCAGACCTTTCTGGAACAACATTTCCTTTAGTCCTATGACGTTTCGGGATTCTAGACATAGTACACTTGGGGTACCCTACTGTTCTGGCAATGTCCGCTTGCTTCATATCATTTCTGGACAGTCGAGCAGTTTAACGCTCTATAAGTTCTGGCATGTGACGAGGCATGACTCTACACCAAGTACAGAGAAATTGTCTGAACAAAGCATTGATCTGTTTCGAAAAAGATTATACCAAAAGCACACCCTTTTACACAAAACAGGTGTGTATGTTTGTTTTGACGAACAAATGCTCGAAATAACTTACATAGACCAGAATAACAACTCGTACATGTTTGTCGAATCATGCGCTACCTTTTCTGTTACTACTCGGGCATTTACTCAATAACTACCCCATTCCATGCATATAGACAATAACATCAATATAGAACATTATTCAAACATTTTGAACAAAACTGTATAAACAGCAGTGCTTGTTGCCTCGCGATTCCGAACCCAAAATTAGATTATGTTAATCACTTTAAAGGACAACCCACACGTTTTCATTTCCTCATCGATTGTCTAACATCAAACAGCAAAGTTTATTACTTCTGACCTTTGAAGTATTTCGTTATTTATTTTCCAGGAGATTAAATGACGATATCTTTGCTAAGCTGAGTAATCGCCTCAAGAGAGATACAATAACAAAAGTAATAAGAACTATTTAGACGCTCACAGTAGTGGTATTTGTATGGAGTAGCTGATATTATAAACTATAGTATAACAACATTTTCTGAACTATTTGCTACTCTGACAAACTGGTGTAAATGCGATTAAATTACAATAGCAAAAATGATTAATCTACCTCTTTCGACATAATCTGTATGGAATGAAGAAGGACCAGTGTACAGTAAATTAACAATGCATTGTTATTTTATACATACCGCTGAAAATCTTCAACTAACACTAAAAAAAAACCTGATACATTAAAAATACATTTAAAGAGTAGTAAAAACACTGGGGAAAACTTTGGATATTTAATAATGTTTAAGATTATTTTAATTTCTGGTTATTTTAAAAAGTACAGAATTGGAACCTCTAAGCACACCCATATTGAAATGGACAAGAATTTTAAATATTATACAATATACAGACGTTGAGTACGTTATATTAAAACGATTTTGAAGCCTCACGAAGTCGTTACAGTGTATGTCGCCAAGTCCGATCATGCTCTATCCGATGGAAATGCATCTTGACAATGGCCCTGCAGCGTAGTTTCCATTGCGAAAGGCACCGTCATAAGGCTGTTGTGTGAAAAGCACACCACTCCTCCCTGCATACTTTCTATTATCCATCAAGTGTACAAGAATGACTGTTTCATCGGCGAGTAGCTTGACTGGTGTGCTTTCTTATGGAATAGCATGATTATCTGTTTCGTTCTCCGTCTGCTTGAGGTATACAACATTTGAACAGGAAGTATGACTAGAAGGTTTATCTTGGTGAACCTATGGCCTGATGGCCTCGTTTTCAGATGGTGATTTTTTTATTGCTTTGCGTATAGTTACTAGGAGTAGGAGGTCAGCGTTTGCCGCAGACCTTTGTGCCCATGGATTATCCACTGATCTCTATATATAAATAGCGCTTAGCTGACGCTGCATTAAAGCCATGTGTCCGACATCTTACCACACCCAATTAGTGCTACCCTACAGACTGATTAGATAGGGCTGTATGGGCGCTTTCCATTGAAGTTTGTTTCTTTGAAATCAGAATCATAGAATAAGAACAAACAATATTTTCTATAGTTGAGAGGCGATTATATTTTGTCATTTTATTGACTACTTCTCACATATAAAGTGTAGTTTCATAAAGACATATCAAAGGAAGATTCGACATGATTTCATGTAATTGAGTAAACGAATAAGAGATGATTATTTCGTTTAAGAAAACTCTCATTACATTATATTACAGGTATATTAGATGCTTACTATAACTCAAAAATATAGAGATAACAATTATATACCAAAAAAGCGTATTAGAATTTATTTTAATTTTTTTTAATGAAAATACGAAAGAATCACCCCAAATATTACAAGATAGAAACAAATATTTATTCATCATTTGTTGCCAACATCAATACATAAAGGAAGAGCGGATTAAATAACTACTTACTTTGAAATTTATTAGAAAGATATGA